TATGCCTTGAGATTTTGTCAGAAAATAGGCCAAGTAATGGTGATTTAAAATGCATAAAAAATGTAATCATTCCTAGAAGAGATTTTATTGTACCTTATTGCTACTATAATAAATACATTTACAACAAGACGAGTAATTCAGGGTCTGGTGGTTTTGTTCAGAAGCGAAAGGCATAATATATATATATCATGAAGAATTAAATCAAACATGAAAGATAAAGCAACATAATCTAGGAAAAATGAAGCCATAATTTTTGTCCTAGTTATTTTGGTGGTTCATGAGTGATTAGGAGCTTGTAAAAATAAGTCTTACTCAGAGTCATTAAATGATGAATGGGTAATGATTGTGATTACCAATTGCTGATTAAAACCAAGCTGATACATTTGATTTGTAAAATTGGTTATCTGCTTCATAATTTAAAAAATTATAAACCTTAAGAACATGCTAGGCTATTTCTTTTTTGAAAGATACATCTATAATATCCAGAGGTTTCCTAATGATGGTAGGAAGGTGAGCAAAAAATGAGAATCGGAAACTGCTTTGGATAGCAGAGAAGTTTACGTTCCACATACTTATCATGCTTCCAGCTTCACACTCTCTTCCCACACAAAGTTTAAGAAACCCATACCCATGTTAAATAGTTGAGTTTAATGGAGAACTGAGGCAATGTAGTGAAAACAGATCATGCAGCAGAATTTAATCTTCTTACATTGTATTGGCATTAAATACTAGCATAAATATGTTTGCTTTCCCTTTTTAAAAAGGGTAGATGGAGGGTAGATTATGTATGTGTTCTTTCTGTTTTTTGTTATTTGGTTTTTTTGTGTGCGTGGCTTTCCTTAGTGAAGGTAATTGTGAGCATGGATACATTAAAAAATTTATTGTTCATATGTCTTAATGTCCTCCTACAGAGCAGAGTGGCCAAAAGAACAGTTTATTGCACCATATGTTCCACGGTTCCGCAACGGCTGGGAGCCCCCAATGCTGAACTTCATGGGAGCACCAATGGAGCAAGAGCTTTATCAGTTGGCTGAGTCTGTGGCAAATGTAGCAGAACATCAGCGCAAACAAGAAATAAAAAGATTATCCACAGAGGTAAAGTTTTTTAGCATCACCTTTTGTAGATAGCACAATAATCTGTGCATTCTCTTGTAATTATAATTGTGAGTTTTCATTTTTATTAATCTGAAGATTGATTGTTCTAGAATCAAAGACTGAATGTTACCTTCTCATGAGTGCCCCCTCTCTCTCACCTCTGTCATTTTTGTGACAGTTGCTCTGTTCCTGTGTAAAGCCCAACCCCAGCCCATGTTCTCCTCAGTCTGTTGGCCCTCACTCCTACCCCTGCTGCCACTGCTCTCCTGGGCCTGGGGCCCTAAGCCTTTTTGAGAAGGTACTCTCGCTCTTTGTCAGGGACTTCCCCTATTGCCTCTTGGCTTATTTCTTTCTATTTTCCTCTCCCATTGTCAGACCTTCAAGACAATTCCCTGAATCTTGATCCTCTAAGGCTGTCCCAAGCAGCAATCCCTCCCTCGTTCTTCTTTTTCTATCTCTTTCTGTCTCTCTCTCTACCTTTCTCCCTTTCCCTCTCCCTCTTCCCCCCTCTCTCTTTCCCTTTCTCTGTTTTACCTAGTTCTCTCTAGGATCCTCACAGCCTGGCTAGAGAACCTAAGCTTTTTGTGGACTTCAGTTCTCAGGCTCAAATGATGTATAACACCATAACATCTTTAGGAGGTCATAAAATTTATTTGATTTTTAAGTACTTAGTAAGCTTTAGAGTATAACCTATTTGGGGAGCAAATCGAGAGAATGAAATTGGGTATCCTATATTGTCACATTCCTTAAAAATGATTGTTCTATGACTCTTCTTGTTCTGTTGGAAAAGAGCATTGAGTATTGATTAAACAAATACAAATTGGATGATCAGAACTTGAGGATGAATGAAATCTAGTTTGAAGAAGAAACAGTAAATGATGACTAGATCCTTCTGCAGTCCTGTTCATTTTCTTTATTTCATTCCTTAGATTAATTTTCTCGGGCTATCATAGGTATTTATAATGCAGAAACATGATAGGAAGGAATGAATTAGCAAACTACAATAGATTACATCTTGTGACCACTTTTAAGGGGAAACATTTATCTAAATTAAATTTTTAAAAATCATTCCCCTGGGGGACTGTTCTTTGGACAATAACAATAATATTATAGATTGGTTAAATTCCTGAAACTTTAAAAACAAAGCAAATATACTGCTTTGAAATTCATTTTTTTTTATGTGATTTTTTCCCTCTGGTATATAAGGAAAGAGTTGGATTCCATACCTGTCCTTCCCTCTAAATGAGTAATTAAGAAGATGAGCTCACTGCTCTGAGCATTGGTTGACACGCATATGTTCCTGCCTGTATTTTATAGTTTAGGCTTCATTACTATGAATTTTCTTTCCATTTGGAGGGCAACATTTTTAGAGGAAAAAAATATACTCAAACCTGATATTTTGATATACTTGCTGTTGCTGTAGTTATAGTCCAGCTGTTTTCAAATAAAATTTCCAGCTTATAGTCTTCATATCTTAAATAAGAAAATATCCTCATTTCATAATGTATGCCTCAGAAATTCACTTTTGTGAGTTATTTTTCAATTTGTGTATTTAAGGAGAGAGTAATGTGTTCTGGGCTTCCAGGATATAAGTTTGTCTACTCTTACTGAATAAGTAATTTTAAAAGAGCAATTATTGAGAATCCTTACTTGTAATGAGTTATCATTTTCCTGTTGTAAACTGTATTTTATAGCTTAAGTAGTTATTCAGAGGTTTAAAAAAATGAAATGAAAAAAACATGCTAGCAGTTCTAGGGGATTTTATGCCTTGAGATTTTGTCAGAAAATAGGCCAAGTAATGGTGATTTAAAATGCATAAAAAATGTAATCATTCCTAGAAGAGATTTTATTGTACCTCATTGCTACTATAATAAATACATTTACAACAAGACGAGTAATTCAGGGTCTGGTGGTTTTGTTCAGAAGCGAAAGGCATAGGTGATGCGGAGCGGCAAATATGGGCGGCAGTACTCAGCGTCTGTACTTCCTCTGACCCAGCAGCAGCCCTGCGCAAGGTTGAATAGTCATCAAAGTTAGTCATTTGTCGTCATCTGTCTCCTCCCGTCTAGCATTCCCAGTCAGTCTCAGGACCCAGTGATTTCATACTGGCTTACCTCACTCTATTATGTTCAGAGCTGGGCAAAAGGTGTGGGTGATTCTAACAGTTTTCTACACTCCCTCTTTAGAACAACCTTTAATAAAAAATTACCTAATCAAATTTAGTGCCTCTTCTCTCTGCTAGGGAAGTGATAAACTGAATTAATTGAGCTCAGGTATTTAAATGGCTGAAAATTTGTATTTGTGTGTTAAATGCAGTATCCTGATATATAATTCAGAGGAATCATGTAATGTAGGTATTTTGACATCAGCACTGATCCACTGGGGACACATTACCTACTCTGTCAATGGATAAATTCAGCCCTCCTTCTGCCAACTTTATCATTAGAATTAACCATAGTAACCACATGTCCAAAACTTTTCTGAAGCATTCCAGGTTTCAAATATTTTGCCCCAATGAATCCATAAACAACTGAAATACCCGCAGAATTCCAATGCTTCAGTATGAATCATGCTTCTCCCATACTTCACTTTTATATAAAGAAACAATATAAAACCTTCAGGTAATGTTTTTTGTTTGTTTTCTCCCAATCTGAACATGTAGCTTCTATAGCTTTAAAACCATGGTGCTCAATGGGACTTCTTGGTAGCACCCAGGAGGTTCATGTCTGAATTATGTTGGCTGCAAAAAAGAAATGATTCCAGCATTGTCTTATCCGGGACTCTTGACTATCAAGATCAATGTATTTGTGTCTTTCTATGTTTTCCTTGACAATAAATCTGATAATAGTACTGCTGTTGTTTAAAATTTGAAAATACTATAGTGTTTTGTGTATAATTTTTAAAATGAGAAAAATGAGAGGGTTGTATAATTTTAATGCACAGAGTTGAGTTTCTTGTGACAATAATTTACTTTGCTAGAGTGGTGGAGTTTTTTTAAAAACAGAGAGCAAGATTTAGCCTTTGCATTAATGACTTTTCTTATTATGTCTTTGACATAAATGTATCACTCCCATTTCATAATTTATTAATATAATGGTCAATCACTTGAAAGTGAAAACTGATCTCAATATAGTGGAGGGTTCTTGTTGACTTATATGAGTGTTCAAATCATATTTGGTGATTCTTTCATCTGTCTTTCAGCATTCCAGTGTATCTGAGTATCCTCCACCCGATGGATATGCATTCAATAACAACATGTACACAAGAGGGCCCCATCTGGACCAAGGGGAAGCCGCTGTTGCTTTTAAGCCAACTCCTAATCGCCATGTAGATAGGTAACACTTAATGGGCACCAATTAGAGAGCTGTGAATAACTGTCTCTGGTTTAGTGCTAAGAGGTGGCAGTGTCTATATTGTCTACTACTTCTTTAAACTTTCCATCTGTTAATTATTTGATAAAGGTTCAGTTCATTTATAGAACTGGCTTTAATGAGCAAAAGATGTCTGGACCTCCAATCTGTAATTCTCATTTAATGCGAATGCCTTTGGATGACTTTCCCTTTTTTAAAAGATACTTCTGACAAAATGTGTGCATTAAGAAGAAAGAAGAATTGTCTTGAAACTCTCCATTAGTTTGTACCCGATAGTCTCTAAGGATCTTTCCAGCTCTGTAACTTTCAAAGGAAAAAATTTTCACCCTTCTCTTCACCTAATAAAAACAAATACACCTTCCTTTAGATAGAAATATTTAAACTAAATAGAAGCTAAATATTAAAATGGAGTTAATTCCTTATCTTTCATGCCATTTCATCTTATTATATTTTATCTTGATGTTCCAGTTTTACATTTCATTTGTTTTTCTATATTTTCACTCTTAAAGAATTTAATAAAGGCGGGAATAGAGAATTGGGATGGAGAAGAAATAAAGGAACTGGAATAGGTTCACTTTGTTTTCATTCTTGTTTTCAGGCAAGTGAGGTTTACATAGCGCCAACTCACATACAAAAGGGAAAGAAAAGGAAGTGCAATATTGGTAACGAGGCTGTAAGAGGATGATCATACAGATAAAGTGGGTCAGAGAACCCGTCCTAGTACTTGCCTGTCAAAGCCCCTCTTACCATGAGAGTTACATGCCCTTTATTTCTTTTCAGTATCCTCCTTTCTTATGGAATCTGAGGAAGGTAGTATTTAAAATTTTGTTCTTTGTCAGGGATGGTGACAGGTAATGCTTAAGTAATTGCCATGGAAATTATACAGGTATTGCTCTAAGGGCACCAGTAACATATTAAATTGAGTACAAGGAAAAGTCAGCAATGAATAATATATTTTGAAAATGCCAACATATGAAAATAAGTTTTAATTATAGAATTATTTTTAGTAGATACAGGTGGAAATTAGTTTGACAGCTTAAACATTATTTCTTTGAAATTCTTCTTGACTAACTCACTACTCATCTCAATATTTTTTTCTTTCCTTCTGTCTTAAATGTCAACATTCTAGAAATTATTTCAGATTAGCGGTTATTTTTTTATTTATTTCTATCACTCCGGTCAGTTGGATGGTTTTCCATAGCTAAGTGACTGGAAAACCATTTGAGTACATTTCTCATATGTATAATACATATTGATACTAGAAAACTTTTATCATGTTCCATTTTAAGACCACATCTAGCACAATGTGGTCACTCAGTTGTGACTTATTTGATTTATTGATTGAATGACTAAATAAATACATGATAGTGTATTCAACATTTCAGAGTCAATCCCTCCCTGTCCTTCAGCTGCATATCTATAAAGGATAGTAGTACTTACGGAGTAACCGCTGCCATTTATTTTGGGCAGCTTACCACAAAGTCTTTTAATTAAAGTTTACCTTGATCTTTATGACCTTCATAGAATATCAGGAGAGTATGCCTTTGATTTATTGATTTAGATATATCTTTGTACCTCATTTACTTCCTGAATGGGTTCAGGCACTTAAATTATATACAGCTAAAGTGATGTTATTAAAAATTAAATAATGAAATAAAATAGAAAATTAAGAGGGAGAATAAGAATGAAAATTTATGAAGTATAAGAATTGACACTGAAATTGAATTTCGAATTTGTCTTTGAGATTTCTGTCAGAGCAAAAAGAAAAACAACCATTTATTGTCATTAGGAAGAAGAAATATGTATTAGTTCATTTGAATAAATAATGCTTTTCCTGCTACTAAATTCTCAAAAATGTCTGTCTCATGGAACTTTATATAGGATACTATAGGTGATGTAAAGGACACTCATTTTTAACAATATTTTTTCCTCATTTAGAGAAGGCTGTGGTGAATTTCATAAGGTTTCTTTTGGTAACCTCTGATAAATAGAAAATTTAAATGGAATATAGTAAAGGAAATTCCATGAAGGGATGGTAGCCTTAGAGTGGTCGAAATTTAGCCAGAGAAAGATTTTTTTTTAAATACATTGAATGATGGGTTGATTTTATATCTCAGTTCTTATGGGTCCCATTTCTCATCTGGACTTAATAGGAGCTGGGATAGTTGATAGATACCAAGATAATGGATGTTCTTTGTTGCTAAGAAAATTTGTCATCATTATTGCAAAAACTATCTGAAAATTGTAGTCTGAAAAAAATATTGAGAGGTGTGGAATTTGCTTTTATAATTATTGTTATTGACCTTTATTGCATGCGAGGGAAGCAGTAGATATCATATGAAGTATATTCACTGTTAAACAAAATACCTGTTTGTTGAATTTAAAGCCTGTACCTTTGAGTTTTATAGTTCACTGCTATTCAGATACAATTAGTATTTTAGAGTTCTCAGATTATTGCTATCTCTACATTTGCTCTATATCAAGCGGCACATCTATTATTCCAAATCAGAAACAGACCATACATTTTGATGCATTCTCTCTCCCTTAAGAAACTTTGTTATATCTGAAAAGTTATAAATTATGATTTTCCAATTGATAACTATGGTCAGTGTCATGTCCAGGTTTAATATATAGAGGGGGAAAACTGTAAAACATACAGATTCATAAATTCTAAAGCATTTAATTATATAAGTGCATGCTGGATAAACACTTCTGAGACATGAAGATAGCAAAAACTTTAAAGACAACCACAGCAAACTTTTCTTTTTAACTCACTGATTCGGTTACTTAGTGGTGGAGTTATTCTACTTTTTGTTATAGTATACTTAATTCTCCATTATTAATAGCTATCATTTTCTACATCATAGGATAGAGGAACATGGGGGAAGAGAGAAAGATAAAAAAACTGAAATTACTGTTTTCCTTACTTCTGGGGTGATTGAATCTCTTTTATCTTCTACATGAAATTTTAATAGATTAAATATGTGCATTTAAAGTAGATTTCCCACCCCTGTTCTAGTAGGGATAGAGGTGAAATCCATGAAACACAGTTTAAAAATTATTATTATTAATAATATAATGATTATTTGACCATAATTTCACTTGGTCCACCATTCTTTTTTTTTTTGTTTTTTAACCATACTAACATAGCCAATAAGCTATGCTTATATATAAGCTGTGTGACCTGTGTACAGGTCATCTTTTTTCATTGTCCCTGCCCTCCTTCTCCAATGGAGTGACTACCTAAGAGGTAGCAAATATCTATGATGACAGGATATGTTATGTCTGCAGCGGTCCTGCAGGCCCCATATCACTCAGCATTCCAGCATTCCAGAGAACTTGGTACGCAGCACAAAGAATGGCCACTTGACAGGGGCAGGATGACCAAACATCTATCTGCTTTTTCCCTTGTAGAGCTGGGTGAGGAAATGTGGGAATGTAAGTGGAGAGGACTAGGGAGTAAAATTAATGAAGAAGAGTTAAACTTACGACTTTATTAGTGAAATATATGAAGAAAATATGCATTTTTAATACATTAAATTTTATTGTGTTATATATAAAGATAGTTTTTAATTATGTTAGATCTATTAGTGCTCATTTAATAATTAGAAGAAGTATTTGATT